ATTGCAATATTATTAGCAATATTATATGTAATATAAATATATAATTATAATATCGTATTATTAGTAATAGTATTATGTTGTATTACATTATTATTATATTATATTATATTATATTATATTATATTATATTATATTATATTATATTATATGATGAGGATAGTCTTCTGGGCCCCTCTCTCTTCATTCTGGCCCATATTGTACTATACCATTATATTGCAATATTATTAGCAATATTATATGTAATATAAATATATAATTATAATATCGTATTATTAGTAATAGTATTATGTTGTATTACATTATTATTATATTATATTATATTATATTATATGATGAGGATAGTCTTCTGGGCCCCTCTCTCTTCACTCTGGCCCATATTGTACTATACCATTATATTGCAATATTATTAGCAATATTATATGTAATATAAATATATAATTATAATATCGTATTATTAGTAATAGTATTATGTTGTATTACATTATTATTATATTATATTATATTATATTATATTATATTATATTATATTATATGATGAGGATAGTCTTCTGGGCCCCTCTCTCTTCATTCTGGCCCATATTGTACTATACCATTATATTGCAATATTATTAGCAATATTATATGTAATATAAATATATAATTATAATATCGTATTATTAGTAATAGTATTATGTTGTATTACATTATTATTATATTATATTATATTATATTATATGATGAGGATAGTCTTCTGGGCCCCTCTCTCTTCACTCTGGCCCATATTGTACTATACCATTATATTGCAATATTATTAGCAGTATTACATGTAATATAAATATATAATTATAATATCGTATTATTAGTAATAGTATTATGTTGTATTACATTATTATTATATTATATTATATTATATTATATTATATTATATTATATTATATTATATTATATTATATTATATTATATTATATTATATTATATTATATGATGAGGATAGTCTTCTGGGCCCCCCTCTCTTCACTCTGGCCCATATTGTACTATACCATTATATTGCAATATTATTAGCAGTATTACATGTAATATAAATATATAATTATAATATCGTATTATTAGTAATAGTATTATGTTGTATTACATTATTATTATATTATATTATATTATATTATATTATATTATATTATATTATATTATATTATATTATATTATATTATATTATATTATATTATATTATATTATATTATATGATGAGGATAGTCTTCTGGGCCCCTCTCTCTTCACTCTGGCCCATATTGTACTATACCATTATATTGCAATATTATTAGCAATATTATATGTAATATAAATATATAATTATAATATCGTATTATTAGTAATAGTATTATGTTGTATTACATTATTATTATATTATATTATATTATATTATATTATATTATATTATATTATATTATATTATATTATATGATGAGGATAGTCTTCTGGGCCCCTCTCTCTTCACTCTGGCCCATATTGTACTATACCATTATATTGCAATATTATTAGCAATATTATATGTAATATAAATATATAATTATAATATCGTATTATTAGTAATAGTATTATGTTGTATTACATTATTATTATATTATATTATATTATATTATATTATATTATATTATATTATATTATATTATATGATGAGGATAGTCTTCTGGGCCCCTCTCTCTTCACTCTGGCCCATATTGTACTATACCATTATATTGCAATATTATTAGCAATATTATATGTAATATAAATATATAATTATAATATCGTATTATTAGTAATAGTATTATGTTGTATTACATTATTATTATATTATATTATATTATATTATATTATATTATATTATATTATATTATATTATATTATATTATATTATATTATATTATATTATATTATATTATATTATATGATGAGGATAGTCTTCTGGGCCCCCCTCTCTTCACTCTGGCCCATATTGTACTATACCATTATATTGCAATATTATTAGCAGTATTACATGTAATATAAATATATAATTATAATATCGTATTATTAGTAATAGTATTATGTTGTATTACATTATTATTATATTATATTATATTATATTATATTATATTATATTATATTATATTATATTATATGATGAGGATAGTCTTCTGGGCCCCTCTCTCTTCACTCTGGCCCATATTGTACTATACCATTATATTGCAATATTATTAGCAATATTATATGTAATATAAATATATAATTATAATATCGTATTATTAGTAATAGTATTATGTTGTATTACATTATTATTATATTATATTATATATTATATTATATTATATTATATTATATTATATTATATTATATTATATTATATTATATGATGAGGATAGTCTTCTGGGCCCCTCTCTCTTCACTCTGGCCCATATTGTACTATACCATTATATTGCAATATTATTAGCAATATTATATGTAATATAAATATATAATTATAATATCGTATTATTAGTAATAGTATTATGTTGTATTACATTATTATTATATTATATTATATTATATTATATTATATTATATTATATTATATTATATTATATTATATGATGAGGATAGTCTTCTGGGCCCCTCTCTCTTCACTCTGGCCCATATTGTACTATACCATTATATTGCAATATTATTAGCAATATTATATGTAATATAAATATATAATTATAATATCGTATTATTAGTAATAGTATTATGTTGTATTACATTATTATTATATTATATTATATTATATTATATTATATTATATTATATTATATTATAATTATATTATATTATATGATGAGGATAGTCTTCTGGGCCCCTCTCTCTTCATTCTGGCCCATATTGTACTATACCATTATATTGCAATATTATTAGCAATATTATATGTAATATAAATATATAATTATAATATCGTATTATTAGTAATAGTATTATGTTGTATTACATTATTATTATATTATATTATATTATATTATATTATATTATATTATATTATATTATATTATATGATGAGGATAGTCTTCTGGGCCCCTCTCTCTTCATTCTGGCCCATATTGTACTATACCATTATATTGCAATATTATTAGCAATATTATATGTAATATAAATATATAATTATAATATCGTATTATTAGTAATAGTATTATGTTGTATTACATTATTATTATATTATATTATATTATATTATATGATGAGGATAGTCTTCTGGGCCCCTCTCTCTTCACTCTGGCCCATATTGTACTATACCATTATATTGCAATATTATTAGCAATATTATATGTAATATAAATATATAATTATAATATCGTATTATTAGTAATAGTATTATGTTGTATTACATTATTATTATATTATATTATATTATATTATATTATATTATATTATATTATATTATATTATATTATATTATATTATATTATATGATGAGGATAGTCTTCTGGGCCCCTCTCTCTTCACTCTGGCCCATATTGTACTATACCATTATATTGCAATATTATTAGCAATATTATATGTAATATAAATATATAATTATAATATCGTATTATTAGTAATAGTATTATGTTGTATTACATTATTATTATATTATATTATATTATATTATATGATGAGGATAGCACAGGAGACAAGGTGGAACTGTCTTCTGGGCCCCTCTCTCTTCACTCTGGCCCATATTGTACTATACCATTATATTGCAATATTATTAGTATATGGGTGAGATCATCCGGAGTTTCGGAGTGCGATGTCATCTGTACGCGGATGATGTCCGACTCTGTCACTCCTTCCCACCTGCTACTAAGGAGGCTGTCAAGATCCACAGCTTGGCCGCTTTGACGGTCTGGATGGGGGCAAACAAATTGAAATTGAATCCAGACAAGACAGAGGTCCTCCTGGTCAGTCGCAAGGCCGAACAGGGTATAGGGTTACAGCCTGTGTTGGATGGGGTCGCACTCCCCCTGAAGACACAGGTTCGCAGTTTGGGTGTGACCCTGGACTCATCGCTGAGCCTGGAACCCCAGGTTTCGGCGGTGACCAGGGGAGCATTCGCACAGTTAAAACTTGTGCGCCAACTGCGACCGTACCTTGGGAAGTCTGACTTGGCCACGGTAGTCCACGCTCTGGTTACATCCCGTCTTAACTACTGCAACGCTCTCTACGTGGGGTTGCCTTTGAAGACGGCTCGGAAGCTCCAATTAGTCCAACGGGCGGCAGCCATGTTACTAACAGGAGCAGAGCGCAGGGAGCATACAACTCCTCTGCTGCACCAGCTCCACTGGCTGCCGATCTGCTACCGGGCTCAATTCAAAGTGCTGGCGTTGGCCTTTAAAGCCCTAAACGGTTCTGGCCCAAGCTACCTATCCGAACGTATCTCTGCCTATCAGCCCACCAGGACCCTAAGATCTTCTGGGGGGGCCCTGCTCTCTATCCCGCCTGCTTCACAGGTGCGGCTGGCGGGGACGAGAGACAGGGCCTTTTCTGTGGTGGCCCCGCGGCTATGGAGGTAAGATCAGCCCCCTCATTGATGGTATTTCGGAAAAGACTAAAAACCTGGATGTTCGAGCAGGCGTTCGGTTAACTCAGTGCAATAAGTGTAATGATTGAAGGACTGGCAATTTGGACGACGAAACTGGATCGCGATTTTAGTCAAGAGATGAATTGGATTGTTTATTGATATATGTATTGTGGATCGTGTTTTTATGCTTTTAAACTGTATACTGTTGTTTGTTATAAGTTGTTGTAAACCGCGTTGAGTCGCCGGCTAGGCTGAGAAACGGCGGTATACAAGTATAGCAAATAAATAATAATAATAGTAATATTACATGTAATATAAATATATAATTATAATATATTATTATTAGTGGTATTATATTGCATTACATTATAATATTATTATTAGATGTGAGAGTAGACTTGGGGCCCTTCCTTACAGCCATAGAACCCAGAACATGGGGGGGGGGGGGGGGCTCCCAACTGATGACACTGGAGGCAAGGTGGAACTTTTCTCTTTGAAGGCACCATTCAGATCCAGAGCCGCCAGCAGCTGGTTGAGAAGACCCACTTGGACGAACTGAAGGACGTGAAGGAGGACCTGATCCACTGCCAGCAGGAGCAAGGGAGCCAAGCCGGATGCCAGGTAAAGGGAAGCCTGTGCCGGGGCTTGTGTTGGGGCCCCTCGGTCTCTGTACCGTCTTGTTGCTTGCCCTATAGAGCTCTAGGAGGTGGGTGGGGAGGTGCTCCCCAATCCCTCCTGGAGGAGGGGGGGTGCTCCCCGATCTCTGCGGGGAGGTGCTCCCCGATCTCTCCTGGAGGTGGGGGGGGTGCTCCCCGATCTCTGCGGGGAGGTGCTCCCCAATCTCTCCTGGAGGTGGGGGGGGTGCTCCCCGATCTCTGCGGGGAGGTGCTCCCCGATCTCTCCTGGAGGTGGGGGGGTGCTCCTCGATCTCTGCGGGGAGGTGCTCCCCGATCTCTCCTGGAGGTGGTGGGGGGTACTCCCCGATCTCTGTGGGGAGGTGGAAGGGGCCACAGTGTGCCTCCATCTCTCCCTTCCGCCCTCCCTCCCTCCCTCTTTGCAACCCCTTCCAGGGCCGGGCCACGGCCTCCCTCCCACCTCCACCACCTCCTCCTGCTCTGCCCCTGCAGGAAGGCCTGGCCGCTTGCCTACGGGCCACCGAGGCCGAGAAGGCGGCCTTTGAGTCCCAGAAGCTGCTCCTGTCCTCGGAGAACCTCCGCTTGCGGGAGTCGCTGGAAAAGGAGGAGGCGGCCCTGGCCTCGCTGCAGGAAGAGCTGCGCAAGCTGCGGGAGCGGATCCGGCTGCTGGAGGAGGAGGAGGAGGAAGAGGGGAAGCGCCCCGAGGCCGCTCCCTCCGAGACTCAGAGGCTGAAGGCGCACCTGGAAGAGGAGCAGCGCCGGGCACAGGGCTTCGTGCGGCAGAAGGCGGCGCTGCTGGCCGAGGCCCAGATGCTGCGCCAGGAGCTGGACAAGGAGCGCCGGGCGGCCCTGGCTCTGCGCGAGGAAGTGGAGCGCATGAGCGCCGCCGAGACTCCGCATAAAGAGCAGGACGCGGAGACGGAGCGGCTGAAGGGGAGGCTGGCCGAGCTGGAGAAGCGGCTGCACTTTGAGGAGCAGCGCTCGGACCTGTGGGAAAAGCTCTACGTCGAAGCCAAGGGGCAAGCCCAACAGCAGCAGCAGCCACCATTGGAGCCCAAGGACCGGCGCAATGCCAAGAAGAAGTCCCCGTCACCACCGCCCAAGTCATCCTTCTTCGGCTCCGTCAAGGAGACCTTTGACGCCATGAAGAACTCCACCAAGGCCTTTGTGCGGCACCACAAGGAGAAGATCAAGCGCGCCAAGGAGGCCGTCAAGGAGAACCTGAGGAGGTTTTCCGACTCGGTCAAGTCCACCTTCCGGCAGTTCAAGGACTCCACCAGGACCGACACCGGCGCCGCCTCCGAGGGGAAGCGGAGGCACGGAGAGAAGCGGCGCGAGGCCCGCAAAGGCCGGCACCACGAGCCTCCGCAGCAACAACAGCAGAGGGCCCCCGGGGGCCACGGAGGCAAGAAGTGTCCCGGGAGCCCCAGCAGCGAGCGCAAGGGCCCCCTCCCGCCCCCCAAGGGTTGCCTGGGCATCTTCGACTGCGCCCGGCAAGAGTTTGCGGGGCTCTTTGACCGCGTCCTGGGCCCCATCCGGGCCGACGAGTTCCACCAGCTGATGCACAAGTTCCTGCAGCAGGAGGTGGGCAGCTTCCGCCACTGGAGAGAGTTGGAGGCCTTCCTGGGACGCTTCTTCCGCAACGGCGTCTTCATTCACGACCAGATGCTCTTTGCCGACTTTGTCAACGACGTCAAGGACTACCTGCAGGACATGGAGGAGTACCGCGGTGGCGCAGGGGCCTTCGGGGACCTGGACACCTACATCTACCAGTACTACTTCCACTACGAACCCGCTCCGGAGCACCACGGAGACAGGTCAGTGTGGCTGGAAAGGCAACCTTTCTAAAGCTGTGACCCCTAAATACAGTTCCCCATGTTATGATGACCCCCAACCATAAAATTATTTTCATTATTTTCATTGCTATTTTAGAACTGTTATGAATCATAATGTAAATATGATATGCAGGATGTATTTTAATTGTTACAAATTGAACCCAATGAAAGCATAGTGATTAATCACAAAAACAATACGTTTGGGGGAGTATGGGCAATGGATGATGGGATTTGCAGTACCTTCAACCGATTCAGCCCTGAGTTCCACAGACCACTGGCCGCAGTGGTTTGTGGGATCCGAAGGGTTTGAAAGTACTACAAATCCCATCATCCATTGACTGTCCTCCTCCAAACCTCACCAGGATGTAAAGGCGGTCATGGGGGTTATGAGTGCCAAGTTTGGTCTTGATCAGTCATTGGATGAGGGTCGCAGCGGTCTCGGGAAGTGAGTGGAGGTACTTCAAGTTCCATCATCCATGGTCCACCCTCCTCCAAACTGCAATAGGATGTAGAGTGAATCATGGGGGCTCTGTGTGCCCAGTTTCGTCTCTGTTGGGGGCCATAGTGCTCCATGGGAACCAAAGTGTTTGAAAGTACTACAAATCCCATAATCCGTGGTCCAACTCACCCAAATTGCACCAGGATGTAAAGTGGGTCATGGGTCATGACCCTCTCCACATTCTTCTGCAGTTTTGAGGAGGGAGGGCCATAGATTATGGGAGTTGAAGTACCTCCACTCAGTTCCTGCGACCCTCATCCAATGACTGATCAAGAACAAACTTGGCACACAGAGCCCCCATGACCCCCTTTACATCTTTGTGAAATTTGGAGGAGGACAGAGAATGGATAATGGGATTTGTAGTACCTTTCAAATGCTGTGATTCCCACAGACCATTGTGGCCCCCAACAAAGACCGATAAAGACCAAACTTGGCACACAGAGTCCTCATGACGCACTCCACATCCTGGTGCTGTTTGGAGGAGGTTGGGCCACGAATGATGGGACTTGAAGTACCTTCACTCACTTCCCAATATCGCTGCAAGCCTCATACAATGGGTGATCAAGACCAAACTTGGAACACAGAGCCCCCATGACCCACTCTACATCCTGGTGCTGTTTGGAGGAGGATAGGCCATGGATGATGGGACTCGCAGTTCCTTCACTAACTTCCTGAGAGCACTGCGAACCACATAAATAACTGATAAAGACCAACCTTGATGCACAATGCCTTTCTCAAATTGTATTATGTTGGGACGAGTGTCTTGAAGATGCGTTGTCGATTTTGTGAGTCAACGTTTCCCTTGACGGGTTTCTCTTCCCTTCCTTGGCCCCCGTTTTGCTCTCGCTTCAGCCACCCTGCCAAGAAGGCGCAGCAAGAGCGGAACCCCCCGAAGGCCCATCATCCTCATCATCATCATCCCCAGCGCCAGAAGCGGGAGGGTAGCCGGTGGCAGAAAGAGGGGCGGCACACGGCGAACCTGGAGATCGAGGTGGGCCAGATGCCCTTCCACCCAAAATACTGAGCCACTCCTCCTCCGACGAGATTTACGAGAAGCCCCGCTGCCTTTGGGGGGGGAGAAGAGACGACACCAGAGGGGCCGAAGCCACCCTTGACCCTTCCTTCAACCACCAAGGAAACCCCCCTCCTCACTCCGGAGAAATGGGCACCACAGCAACTACGATGGCAATAATAAACAGGCCGGGTGAGCAGCCGCTTTTGTTTGTGTTTGTGTTCTCCGCTTCCCGGCCCTTCCAATGTAGACAAACTAGGCATGGGCCAACTTTGGCCCTCCCTCCAGGTGTTTTGATTTGAGTTTTTAAACTATTGATGCTTTAATACAGCTTAAAACGTGTTAACATTTTGCATAGTAGCTTATCTAAAACAACAACAAACAGGACTGGGTTGCTGCGAGTTTCCCGGGCTGTCCGGCCATGTTCCAGAAGCATTCTCTCCTGACGTTTTGCCCACACCTATGGCAGGCATCCTCAGAGGTTGTGAGGTCTGCTGGAAACTAGGCAAATCTATATATATATAAATGCTCATGTCGTAATGAGTGGCTTAAAAACAAAAGAACCGCTGGGCCAATACCCACCAAATTTGGCAACAAAACTCCTCACCATACAAGGTGTGACCATCAATAATAATAATAATAATAAAAGAACTTACAAATCCTAAAAAATCCAACTGCCGCTCTGGGCCCGAGTGAAGAGAGCGGGGGCCAGGGGACAGTTCCACCTTGTCTCCTGTGCTATTCTAATAATGTAATATAATATAATATATATTGTATAAACATATAATATTTATAATATTATAATGTAATGCAATATAATACTAATAATAACATGATATTATAATTATATATTTATATTACATGTAATATTACTAATAATATTACAATATAATTGGTATAGTACAATATAGCAATATTTAAATTGTACTATGCTAATATTGTACTATGCTAATAATATAATATATTGTATGTATATATACCTTGTAAGCCGCTCTGAGTCCCCTTCGGGGTGAGAAGGGCGGCATATAAATGCCGTAAATAAATAAATAAAGCATCTGAATTCTGGGACGGGGGGGGGGCGGGTGCGCCACACAGACAGGAGAGAGCTCCACGTGGCAGAGCCTGTGCCGGCAATGGCCTGGAGTCAGCCTTGGCTCTCTTCCTCCTCCTTCTCTCCCTTCCTTCTCTTTTCCCCCATTTTCTCCCTTCATGCCTTCCCTGCCTCCTCTCCTCCCTCCCTCTTTCCCTCATCCTTCCCCTCTTTCCTTCTCTCTTTCCTTTTTCTTCTCCTCCCTACCTTCTATCATTGCTCCTTCCCTTCTTCCTCCGTCTTCAGCTCTCCCCTTGGGTGCCGCCATCAAGGGGCTCCAGTAAGCCCCGCCCCTAATAGAGCAGAGTGTGCTGGGGACGAAGGAAGGAAGGAAGGAAGGAAGGAAGGAAGGAAGGAAGGAAGGAAGGAAGGAAGGAAGGAAGGAAGGAAGGGGTGAGCCCAGTTCAGTTCCAGGTGAGCTGGACATCCAAGCAGCTCCCAAGGTCAAATTTCCCCCAATTTCCACCAGAATTCACCTTTGGGCATATTGAGGATTCCTCCCAAGTTTGGTCCCGATCCATCTTTGTTTGGGTTCACAGTGCTCTCCGGATGAACAATTTCTCCTCCTCCTCCATTCTCTCATCCACACCAACGCCCCCTTCCCTCCCTCCACCCTTTCCTTCCTTTCTTACTTCCTTCCTTCTCCTTCCTTTCATTCTTTCCCTTCCCTCCTTCCTCCCTCCCTTTCCTTTTCTCCATTGCTCCTGAAAGGAAAGGCAGGAAAGAGGTAAAGAAGGAAGGAAGAGAAAAGGAAATAAAAAGTGAAAGAAGCAAGAAAACAGTGAAGGAAAACATGAGACAAAGGAAGAAGTAGAGAAAGGGGGAGGGAAGGAAGGAAAGAGAGGAGGAAGGATGAAACCAAAGAGTGCAATAAGGAATGAAAGAAAGAGGTAGAGAAGGAAGAAAGGGGAAGGAATAGGTAGGTCCCTATCTTTCATAATAGTCCAGATATCTACCTCTACTTCGAAAATTCTTACTATAGGCCACAGCAACGCGTGGCAGGGTACAGCTAGTGGGGTTTATATATCCACTAGCTCAGTGTTTCTCAACCTTCCGAATGCCGTGACCCATGTTGTGGTGGCCCCCAACCATAACATTACTTTTGTTGCTGCTTCACAACTCCCATTTTGCTACTGTTACGAATTGTCATTTAAATAAATATCTGATCTGCAGGATGTATTTCCATTCACTGGACCAAATTTGGCACAAATACCCGATACCTCTGAGGATGCTTGCCATAGATGCAGGCGAAACGTCAGGAGAAAATGCCTCTAGAACATGGCCATATAGCCCAAAAAGACCTATAACAACCCAGAGAGGAAATGATCAGGGACATCTAATCACCTCTCAGTAAAAGATTGCCCCAAGCACTGCCAGGCCATCAAATGCTAATCGAGGTGGTCAGTTGAAACATTCAGACCCAGCTCCAGCAGACAAGAGTCCTTTGTCCCACCCTGGTCATTCCACAGATACATAAACCCTTTTTCCTAGTTCCAACAGACCTCACTTTCTCTGAGGATGCTTGCCATAGATGCAGGCGAAACGTCAGGAGAGAATGCTAGAGGCACTGCCAGGCCATCAAATGCTAATCCAGGTTGTCAGTTGAAACATTCACACCTGGCTCCAGCAGACAAGCGTCCTTTGTCCCACCCTGGTCATTCCACAGATATATAAACCCTTTTTTCCTAATTCCAACAGACCTCACTCCCTCTGAGGATGCTTGCCGTAGATGCAGGCGAAATGTCAGGAGAAAATGCCTCTAGACCATGGCCATATAGCCCAGAAAAACCTACAACAACCCAGCTTCCCATCTAGTTTGGAACTTTCCCTGCTTGTGTATAATTCTATTACAATTCTCTATCTGTTTGATTGTTGTTGTTGTTGTTGTGTGCCCTTTCCTTTGCCTTTTTCTTGTGCCTCCTCCACCCGGACCAACTCATCTTTCGATTCCAAAATTGCATTGTTTTTGTTGCAGGTTTGTTCCCCTTTTTCCTTCAATGAATTTACTCCATGTGTCCCCAAAATCTCTTCCTTTTTTGACTTCAATGTCACAATTGTGGGAAGTCCAAAACACCTGGAGAAGGGGGACTGCAACTCCCACCATTCCGAATAGCCTCGGACCCTTTCCTTTTCCTCCTCAGCCGCTTAAGGAAGGGGCTCAGGCTGTTTGGAGTGGTGGGAGTTGTAGTCCAAAACACCTGGAGGGAGGGCCAAAGTTGGCCCATGCCTGAGATCAACGCAGCCGTACATTCCCTGCTAACGTCATGCCATGCCAGTCCCCTTTGAATCTATTGATCCCGGTGTGCCGCTTACCGACCTGCATTTGGACTTCCTCCTCGCACAATCCGGTGGAAGGAGGAAGAATAAAAACGCAGTTGGGAAAAAACAAACAAAGCAGAGTCTTTTCCTTTATACAAGTTTGCAGAGAGTTTGCAGAGAGTCTCGCGATCCAGTCGCAGGAAAGGCGGCCTCCTCCTTCTCCCCGAAGCAAACGGGCTCCTCCGGCTGCGTTTCAGCTCCGTTCCGTGTCCCGCTCGTAGAGCTCGACGTGGCTCCCGACCCGCCCTTGCGGCAGATGCGTGTGGAAGAAAGAGGTGCGCCGCTCGTAGCCGTGCGCGCGGAGGAAGGGGTCGATCTCCTGGGAGCAAAGAACACGCTCTGTCACGTATCCACACTTAGTTGCCTAACCGAATTCCATTGCCGACCATATGTTTCGGAACATTCACAGGGTCATAGACAGACCTTCATAGGGTCTTTTTTTTTTTGGTGTCGGGAGTGACTTGAGAAATTATTTATTCATTCCCGCCTAGCTCCAACAGACAAGAGTCCTTTGTCCCACCCTGGTCATTCCACAGATATATAAACCCTTTTCCCTACTTCCAACAGACCTCACTACCTCTGAGGATACTTGCCATAGATGCAGGCGAAACGTCAAGGACATCTAATCACCTCTGAACAAAAGATTGCCCCAGGCACTGTCAGGCCATTATATGCTAATCAAGGTGGTCACTTGAAACATTCACACCTAGCTCCAGCAGGCAAGAGTCCTTTGTCCCACCCTGGACATCATTCCACAGATATATAAACCCTTTTTCCTAGTTCCAACAGACC